GAGAGAGAGAGAGATGGAAAAAAAATATTTAATCCCATTCACGATCGATACCAGTGTCTGTGACATCTTTTCCTCCTCTATTCGTTTTTCCGTTTTTCCTGTAATTTATACGCTTTCCCAGCGATCGTATTTCACATTAAACTGCCGACCGAATGGATCAGATGTGCACGGCCTCGTTCAAAGATGCGGCTCTGTTGGCCGCATTATTTGCAATTTAAATAATCCGACAGATCGGTAATTAATCGTCCGGTCCCCGACAACATTTTTTCCCCCTTTGGAATAAGCTAATATCGGCCCAGGATTTACATTGGTATATACGCGGATCCGAATGGACACACACGATCGGGGCGCAGTTAAATTTTCTAGGGCAATCGCCTCCAATCGATATTATATTTGTTGGCTCGCGGTTTCGTTTCAGGAAATTAAATTCTGCGATCCAGAGGCCCACCCATCTCTGGTGGATACACGTGTTCTTTGATTCACCGCCTTAATTGCCTCCTCGAATCTTTTTATTTCGACGGTAATTGAAACGGTAATGGGGAATTTTTTTGCGTGATCGAACGTCGACGAACGAGAGACACTTTTCGAAATGTGCTATACACTATAAATCAATGGTCATGATAAACATTGATTGACAATCGTTTGAGAAATATCGTTTGAGATTTTTTATTGGAAACATTTTATATTGAAATTTATATTGAAACTGATAGAAGAAGATTAGCATTTATATCTTTGCCAAGATCTGTAATTCGAGTTTGAATCTTAAACGCTATATTGCCTGTCGGAATATCCCTGCGGTCTAATGGAGATATCTCGTGGCATCTATTAGCAAATGGTTCCCAATGGTCAGCGCTTGCCCGCGTTAACCCTATGCTCGCCTTCCTCAGAAAGACGATTGATATTACATTAGATCAGCATAGTCTAATATAGGCCAGTCGAAAACCGTGTTATAGAATTGCTGGTCGCAAGGGGATTAGCGGAATTATATTCCTAAAGGATCATAAACTTAGTAGGCATTAAATGTAGCAAATATATATAGAACTTTTAAAACATAAGTTGAGTTAATATATTCGCCGTCACGAGTATACTCGTTTAAATTTGTTCTAATGTAAAACATTTTGCATTAGCAAAATCTTTTTTGAGTCATCTTCTTTTTACCCGTGATTTCTGATCGTTGCGTGCGAATACGAAAAAGGATTGTGAAATTCCCATTACTAATAATGAAACGCAAACATTCAAAACAGTAATGGCAATAGGAATGATATCACATGGTTTGATCCTAGCAGTGAATAAAGATTGTGCGAGTTTATACAAAATTTATAACATTCAAAACAAACATTCAAAACAGTAATGGCAATAGGAATGATATCACATGGTTTGATCCTAGCAGTGAATAAAGATTGTGCGAGTTTATACAAAATTTATAACATAATCCTTCTCCTAAATTAACCTAACTTTCTCGCATCAAATACACTCTTCGCCTTCCTCCCTCGAATGTTAAATTGATTCTACAATTTCTCATTTCACGGTCCGAAAATAAATTTAACCAATCCTCACGGAACAGGACACGGTAGTCTAACCGGAGGCGACACGCGCACCATCAAATATCCACATCCGTCCCATCGTCGCTCACGTGTCACTGATACGTCAACGTCAAGAAGTTTGATCTAGCGATTCGCTTTAACAGAGCGCCCTCTCTATGCCCAGGAGGCAAACGTTCAATCGAGTATCCATGTTCGCCGCGTCGCGCCATCTACGTACCCAACTTTACGTACGCGATCCAAGAATGCCTCTACATAGCCGTAGCTCTATGCCGGGTCTTAATCCACGCCGCTAATTTCCACGGAATCTACGCGTAATGGGATCACACTTCGCCAAGCAGAGGCAATGACTGGCGGAGCGGCAAATTCCCGGACGAAACGATCCGTATCCGTGCGGTGCTCGATCTTTGGCCCTCGCTACTCTTCCCTCCTTCTCCCCCTAAGTTGTCTTCTCTCGTACCGTCGTAGTTGTTTCGCGATATCGGCAGACGACTAATTGGGGTTCCGGCGTCAACGAAACACTCCGGCTAAACGAGATTCGACGAAATTTCGTTTAAAAGTTTGGCAACCAGACTCGTCGACCACCACGTCGAAAACTCGACGACGTCGGGCCACGATAGGGCAGGAACTCGAGAAGCCGCAAAGCTACTTTCTCATCTCCGTGGTAACGCTAAAACTGCGTTACACTGGCGAACGTTGTCCCGCGACCAGCCTAGGCCTAAATACCCACGACATTCCGAAACAATATAGCCGCTCGGCTAACTTCTACGCTGACCTACGTGGCAACCAACCCGGCCTCGCAACTACTAACTCGGTTACGCTCGAGGCTCTTCGACTGTCCCTACCATTGCTTTCTTCTCTTCGCCCCCCCCCCCGCCCCTACCACCCGTTCCAAATGAGCTAAAGACAGTAGAAATATGTTTTATCATTCGTTGCGCATGGCTGGAAAGTTGAAGTTTTTTTTTCTCAATTTATGGACATGGAAACGTAGAAAGCAAACGTTATTTTCGTCGTATCAATTTCATGACCGATTACATCGATGAGCAACAATACTGAATCACGCAAACTTAACTCTCACAACCGAGAGTCCCTTGGTTATTTAACGAGCCGACGTATAAGGCAGTTTGCCGATTACGACACTGTTAACCGACGGAACAGTGGCGCGCCCTTTGAAACATTTGCCTTGATCTCACGATCCCCCTTTCCCCTTCTTTTCGCCTGCGGCCATTTCGCGAAGCATTGCAATTACGGTACCTCAGAATCGTGCAAATCGAGTGTAATTGTTCCACGGTAAAGATCTACGAGAATTTAAATCCTCTCGATGGATTCTTTGGTGAGTTGACTTATTCGATTCAAACTTCTCAAAAGAACTCATCGTATAAAATATTTTCGAAATTTATATCCATTATCTATTAATTTTTACAATTCAATTCCAAAAATTTTTAATAATACGTGCATATTTATAATTTTTTTTAAATAATTTAAAAAAAAATCTTAAAAATTCAAAAGACCAGAACTTCGACATTCATCGATAATTATTGGATGTGGAGGAACGACGTCGAATACATACGAGGAACAATACCTGGATAAAAATCGCGGATTCTTCCGGTCGAGCGGGGTGACTATTAATATTAAGCTTTTAACGAGGAACACGTTTACACGAAACCCGATTTAACTCCGGCCAGGGGCTCGATACCAGCCGGTAATCCTGTTAGTCTGGTAATCGTATTTGAGGCACGGATCGTTAACTTATCGCTCCGCGGGAAATTTTACGTTGCGATTTCCGGGACCGGTTGTGCTCGCGGCAATCAATGAATTTATCCGCGCGCGACTACCCAGTGTTTCGAAATGTGGATTTTCTAACTCTGTTATCAATGATATTCGATCGTAAGGATTTCCTAACCTCGTTGTTTTCAACGCGGTTGGTTAGCATTGGTCTTGACATATGGCGGTCTTTCTTTATTGCTTGTATGACATATTGAGAACTCTAACGATATAAAATTTTAAGAAATGATATTAATTATAATGCCTCGATTATTAAAAGTACGTATAATTTTACTCTATGTTGACATAACCTCAATAAAATTATCGATCGATCGATAATAATAATGATTTTTAACACGCTACGTATAATTTCACACTTCCCCGATTTTGATATTCGATTTCAAATTTTCTAACCTCTCTTGTGCGTAATTATGCTCATTATCTTATTTGATCGTTCTAAATACGCGATTCGAAACGTTTCCAAATCTAAAATGTGCTTTAATCCCACTATCCTCCATAATGTTCAAATTTTAATCTCAATATTCGTAACGATATCTTTATTTTTTTCGATAGTTTTACTCTCAAAACTATAAAATTGTGCAAACCTCGCCAATCTCGTTACGCACAACTTCATCACGTCTTTCTAATGTATCGTTATATATCGTACAGCATGATGTTCTCGAATTTGCCGGCAGATGGAGTGACTGCATGCAATGGACAAAAATAATACGACAAACGGTGCATGATGCAATGACAGGCAATGATAATGACGCGAGAAATAGTAAGGGGCGAACAGGTATACTTACCATTGGTGAGATGCATGCGAGAATGCTCGTCTGGAAAGACGGTTTCGGAACGATCGCTAGCCGTGGAACTGCTGCTCAAAGCGCTGGTGTGACCTCGCCGCGTTCGTCGCCCCAAGGTCCCTCCGCCGGTGCTCGTCTTTTTCGATGGCGCTGCATAAACCGTTTCACCTGCGATGTATCAGAATCGTTGGAATATCTTTGGATACATTAGAATATCATTCGGAGAGAGACTTCCGGCAGTCAAAGCGAGGCGGAATTTGAAGATGGTACGCGCTTTTGAAGGGAAATATAAATTTTGAATGACTGTGCCTGTTTATTTAGGCAGTTGAGAGAAGAGATAAAAATAAAAGAGAGAAAAATGTGGGAATAAAATTCTCAACAATACTATTCGAATAATTCTAAGAAAATGTGGAAAATATGAAGAAAAATTTTTTTCAATATTACTGTTCGAATTGAAAATCAAATCGCAATGTTTAAACGCATTTTTAGATATAATTCTGAAAGAACGAGCGTGCAACCGACTACGTAAATTGTCGATACAGCGGAAGGTTAATATTTACAAAAGCCGGAGACGAGATATCACGAATGTTATTTCGAACCACTGGTAGCGAGCTCTTGCATTAATCACGTCGACCGGGTTGACTCGCAACATAACGGGTCTCGTCTCGTGACATTTGTAAGTATCGTCTACATTGCAAGCGTGAACGCGCGAGCGCATCAGCGAACGTAGCTCCGCTCGTGCCTCTAATTAACTCCGCACCGTTGCCATTGCGGGACCTCTCCGATGATATGCTCCCGTTGTAATGATGCCGGCGGGAGTTGGTATTCTCCAGGGGAAACGGAGACGCCTGTCGATGATTCGGCGTCAAAGTTGGTGGTGGCGTTGGAAACGGTGTTGTCGGATTATCGGTGGTCGCTGCGCCCTCTGTGTCCGACCCCGTACGATACGATCGGTCACCAACACCTGCAAGCAGTAAATTTTGCATGGTTTTTAGCGTTTCGCATTGACAAAGGTAATTTCGGGGGTTTCGTGATTTTTTGCACACAGTTTTTTGGAGGCGAGTGATGTATCAAAAAATTGAAATTGTATTTTTCACTATCGTATAATAAAAATTGCTCCCTCAAAAAATGTATAGAATCAAGTTATTTTTATCGGCCACTTTCTCTTTACTAAAATATAAATATTTTGTTTTTCTAGATTATATTTCGCAGACCATTTCAAGAGACCATTAATTTTCTCCTCGCCAAAACAAGCATCCCTAAACTCCCCTTCGATTTCCTTTCCCACTAGATTCCATTAACTCATAGACAAAGGGTCGGCTGTATCCTCAGCGGGCCACGTCGAGCCTATCCCAACGCGTCTGCTCTTAAATGCAGCCTCATTGTTATCGGCTTGTCCATCGAATCGAACGAGTATCGCCCCCTATGATTGTTCAAGATCAAACCGGGATGTAAACGTGATCGTCGAACGGCAGATTCCTGATTTCGTCGTCGTTCGATGACTTATGGACAGTGTTGTGTACTCCGTGGCTGTAGTCATCGACACGTTTAGCGCGCGTTTCAGCTGGTAGAGGGCGTACGCTCAAAAACCATCTCGAGAATGGCTTTCGCGATATGGCTATCATTTCGTTTTATTGCCGCGTTACTTGGAAAGCTTCGATTTGCCTCGTCAAGCTATTCTTTCGTCCGTTTCATAGGCAGCTTGCACAGCCACTTCGACTCACGTTGCTTTAACTTCGCGTTTGCTTAAGACTACGAGCACAAGTTCTTCTTTGAATCGCCACGGCGCTGTTGTCGCGAAAACGTTCTGATTCGGGTACGTTTCGTTTCTATTAAACATCGTGGTAAGATATAAAAGTTTCCATTGTACAATGTAAATCATTAATCAATTACCAAAAATAAAAAAACAAAATTAGAAACAATTATATTCTGTTTACAATAACTATTATATTCTTTTATACAGAAATAAATATCTACATACGTATATGAATAGTGATCATTTAAGAGGTTAACTGGTTTTTTGCAGTCCCTTACCTTTCGCAAGAACAACGAAAATGTACCAAAAAACATATTACACATCACATCCGATAGCCGTTGCTTCGAATCATTCCAATTTCACTCGAATCGTTACTCGTGGGCTCGTACGACACCCGTCACGTACCATCGTATCCTGTTTACGCGCAGGCATCCTGTGCGCTACCTATTGGCTGTGACAATCGGCGCGCATCACAGCAGCCAACGGTTCATCAACCGTCGGAATATTCTTGTCGACGACGCTTGATGGTCCATGACGCGAAAATGACAGTGCGCGTAGCTCGATTCGACGATACTTTGGTTTAAGTATATCTAACATTTAGATTGCGGCTCAACAATTCAATAGACGTGACTCTGTTTTAATTCAAGACGGATTGTTGACGATGATTTCGTTCTTGGAGATTTTTGGAGAATATGATTCGCTTTAATTGAATACTATACATGCACATTTTATTTTGACATATTTTTAAGATAAGACGTATACGTATAATGTTTCGCCTTTGCTTGGAATAAAATTAGAGGTTAGGTTTATTTCTTGATTGACAATAGCATTATGATAAGCAGTTAATGTATTATTTGTTTCTATAATTGTACAATATATAACGTATTATGTAAAAAATGATAATATTTCGTACTTTAATATTATTATTTAACCGTGATTCTAAATAATATCATCATAAGTATTATTGTATACCTGAATAAAAAAATTTATTCGTATAATTTCAAGTAATTTTAAAATATAAGAGAACAAAAGCAGAAAATCACGAATCAGAGTAACAACGTACGTTACAAAATACCCGAAATATCTCGGCTTAGCTAATCCTAACCTTAAAACGGCGAAAAACCGTACGAAAAAACTGTCTGGTTGTGTAAAAAAGTTAGTGGTGGATCGGGGAAACGTTACGATAAGAACTCTGGCTCGTTGGCTGGATTAGGAAGATGGTTAAAGCCAGTGTTTCGATAGCCTCGCTCCTATTTATCAGAGTGTAAAGAGGTGTGAGACTACGTGGCCGAGTACTTAAAAAGATCAGCCGTGTTCCGCTACCCTTTTTATCCTTGTTCGCTATTTAACCTCGCCATATTATATCGAGAGCAATTTTTAACATAATTTCAAACAGATGTATGATTTTAACGTAATTATAATACCGTTTATAGATTTTTGTATTGATAAAAATATTTTATCATAACGCTTCTTTTCTTTCTTCTTTTAATAATCAAACATTCGTTCTGCTTTTTTCAATTCGTTTTGTCAATAATTAACGCTGCCCTTATCACGACGGGTCAACTTGCTGTTATTATTTCTCGATATAACGCTTGGTCATATAGCTTGTTAATTCAACTGGAAAACAGGCGCATCGATATTCGTCTTGTTAATTGGCGGATAATTGCCCGTTCAAGGAACGCACGATGTAATATACCATTAAACTTTGTTCCACCGCGAAGGACAAAAGGGTAGCAAGATAGCTGGAAAAGATGGGCGCGACCAAAGAGTAAGGGGGTGGGGTTTAGTATGGAAGAGATGAGGGGATTGAATCTTGTCGGTAATTAATGAGGAAAGTTTTACAAATAGCCGAAGGCATAGTCACTAAACGCCTTAGCGAGACCGTGAATTCCATCCGCAAGCAAAATATCCCGCGAAAGTTAGTTTTTAATTGATAATTATCTTTCCCGGTATAAACGGTAATCAGCATTCCATTCCGTTTCCATTTCTGTCCATCTAATTGCTCTTTCTTCCCGCCGTTGAATTGTCTACAGGACAGAGAAAGAGAAACGAGAGGGAAGACAAGAGTTTCGAGGACTGTAAATAAATTGTGCGTATATATTTTGTGCGGCCCGGTAAAGTTTTGCTCCAGAGGGAGAGAGAAAGGTTTTGCAAGTATTCATACTGGGTGATAAAACTTACTTGATAAAAGAATGCTCTTGAATGCTCATTACTTCGTCGAGAAAAATAAAACGTATTGCAATACATCTTTTAAGAATTCTATTTATATTTATATATTACGTATTAAAATGTTTAATTTACAAACATTAGACATTAAGATTTTAGTAGTATTAAGCATGTTTTGCAAAATATTCATTGAAAATGACTCGTGTATTGTTGTATATACTTGTTGTTAGCAAACACATTCAAACATCTTCAGTACATTAAGCAACGTAACCTTTACTTCACTTTATAAGTATTATTCACCAAAATTCAAAACAAGTTTATACATTACTTACACACTTACACTTATTGTTAGCAAACAAATTCAAACATCTTCAAAGTATTTATCAAATCGGTGCTCAGATAGAATTAAAATGAGATAAGAAACTAAACTTTAATTTAACCAAACAAAATTACTTTACAAAATATCTAAAAGTATCCTAAAATATCATAACCAAAACCAAACTTTTAAACTCGAACCTAACCTAAAATGGTTAAATCGCTCATTAACCTCTTCCACAACATTAATTACTCACATTTAATTCTTCTCATTTCCCGACAATTTCACGAATTTCATGCTGATCTTCTACATCTCAATCTCGCTCAAAATGCCCATTTCGGTCCGCTTCATCGTGACAACGTTCCCGCGAGATCAAAGATCGGAAGCGAATCCAGCGAAGAAGGCATCGTGGCCACGATATAAAGAGAGATACGGGCAAGATGGGCAGCCGCGATAGCTCGAGACGTCTGAGAAAGCGAGTAGCCGAGGGTCGGGGCAGCGGCGCTGATATTGCTCGCATTAAACTTTCATATTCAATCTTGCCACCCACCGGTTCGGCTCTTTCCCTCGTTCCCTTAGCCGGAAGGTCGAGAGCAAGCTCAGCCCCACATGTAATTGTGTTATGCCCTCTTTTCCCTCCTCTCTCCTTCCACCATTTCTCCAGCTCTCCTTTTCGCGAGCTTTCTGCTCTTCTTCCCACCGCTACCCGACCCCACCAGCGCCAGTGACGTTTCTTACGCCTCGTTCTCGCAATTTTGTTGGCCGCGTTTTCTATAGATTGGATTTTCTAATTTGCGCTCTCGCCCTGGCTTCCGGCTTTATACAGTATACAAGCGAGAGTAGGTTTCGGGGCGGATGTTGAAAGTTGTGTGAAATACGATTTCGCAAAAGTCGTGGAGGTTAGAATCGGGAGATGGTCGGTGATATTTTTGGGTGCGCGTGTAAATTGCGAGGTGCGACGTTTGTAGGTTATGAATTTCTCAGTTGCTCGGTCGTTTGTATGATATTGGGATATGATAGTTAGAGAGGTTTTCATGTCGCATATATCGATTGTATTTTTATCGATATTTTAAAACATAGTGTTGGAAATATTTTTAATTTCTGAAATTCGGAATCTGAATTGAGTCGTGACTCTCCTCAATTTAAATTGGATTATAATTAATAATAGAATGAATCAAAAAAGTACTATTCTAAAGAATATTTCATATATCATTCCAATAAAAACATAATCTAATAATAAGTTTTACTGCTCGATTTATAATACATCTAAAAAAAACAAAAAAAAGAATATCATACTTATGAAAATTCAAGTCCATTTTTTACATGCTTGCCATCGCTAACGAGCACTCAACGTACAGGGAAAAACGATAGTACCACTCGACACCATACTCCTATTTCTTCCTGCCCCACCATCAACCTTGTCCATGGTTATTCTTTATTCCACGGTATCACGTGTCGCGTATTGTGGAACGTGTAACGACGCGTGGTACGCGAGTCAGGTAATAAAATCGATAGTCGAGCCGGTCAGTTTTGTCGCTGTCGCTCACACTTCCGGTCAGAAAACTAAATCGGCCCCGTATTCGAGGCCAGGGGCAGAAAAATAATAGTGTTGGAGCGTATTCATTCGATAGGCCGTGGCTAGTCCATAGAATCGCTTTGATACACGGTGGTGGCGCTCGCATCGCCATGTCTTGTTTATTGTACCGACCTGGCGTTGATTGGAAAT